ATATTTATATTGGATGGAGGATTTCATCGTGAGCTGACATCAGTTAGAGAACCACTGGAAAACCTGGGAGTACTGGACAGCTGTTTCGTCCTAGTTTGGGACTCTTCATCAGTACGCACCTGCTCACTAGCGACTTGCCCTATTCAGGCAGTGACCTGGGGTTCTAGTGGGAAGCCGTGACCAGTAAGGTACAGCAGGTTGAAGATGAGGCAGTAACTCATCGAAGAAGACATTGCGAAATGGTCGGCTATGTCGTGAATTGGCACAAGTTAGAATTCATGGGCTGGTCACTGGATCGGGTCCCAGTGGCTCATGGTCTACGAGCTGTCCAGTCTCCCAGATTTTCCAGTGGTTCTCTAACTGATGTCAGCACATGATGAAATCCTCCATCCAATCAAACAAAATCCCTACAAAACCAATACTTGAAAATATATAAATATTACAGAAAATTCGTCTTCTTACGGAAGGTAAGTTATATTGTAAAACGATTTTTATACTCCGGAAAAATGCCAACATCATTATGACATTTTAATTGTTGATACAGTGCCGTGTTTATTTGATAGCTTTTGTTTTTTAAATTGAGACTGGTAATAATGTTAGTACGTAATTTCAAAATTCGATATATTGATTTTGTGTCAGATGAAGTTCAAGTAAATTAAATTATGACAATTAATTTGTGAATCTGGTTTATGTGACAACTAATTTACATAAAACTCCAAAAATTGAAGTCAATCACAATATAGTAAGTGTGTCACATGAAATGTACTCATCGCCAGACTAATATACTATAATAATAGCTTTATTCTGGGCAGTATTTATATATGTACAGAATTTTCAGCTGATTTATTTATAGATATAGGGCAGGAGACATTTGACCCAGGGATATAACTGAATAACTAAATACTGCAAGCCGTAAGTTTTATTTCTCAAGTAGTGGCAGTTTGTACTAAAAATCTCAGGAACAGTTATCTCATGTATTGAGCGGGATACGTCGCCATCCACGATTATCCTTTTTCTCAGGTTTGGTAGACTTGCGAACCAGCAGGTTGTAAACATTTTAAATACTCGTGAGAGTAAATAACTCCATTCGAGGTCAAATCTTAGTAGATTAAACAAAGTGAACAAGAGAAATTATATGCAATATAATGGTGGGGGTTTTCGGTAGTCCACTATATGGTATGATATTGATCATTGAGCATATCACATTTCTTTCTTTATTTTACTCTTTCTTCTTTTACATTCTGGAATATTTATTTATATCATTCAGATTTCCTTGTAACCAATAGTGAGAGTTTAATGGTTTAGATCCCGACGCTAATTAGATTAACTTGTACCACAACATCAGTATAGCCGTTATAGAGTTGATGGTATAGTGTTGTACTCATTTAGAAAGAGATTATCAATAAAAAAACGGAACTCTAATCCCATTTAAGGTGGTTGATTGATGGGTATTTTCAGCTTGAAGATCACTTCTAAACAGACTTAAATTAATGTTCATAATCGTCTAAACGATGTCAGATTACATGAAAAACTCTCTTGATATCAGGTAAAATCAGTCTTTCTGGAAATAATTGATTTCACGAAGTTTGATCAGCCTGACTAATATACTACCTCAGACTTTGGGGTTCATAGTCATACGTAAAATAAGTTGAGCTCAGAATAAACAAAATAAGACGAGGATGCATTGATCGAGTCTTCACCCTACAACAAAATTCTGGAACACAGTCACACCTACCAAAGTCAGTCGATGAGTTCGTGAACCTTCATAGATTGGAACATGTGTTACTCACGCCAAGCCATTGCTTTCCGTGATGCGCAATATTGACTGAAGTAGGGCTATGTTGGTAGACATTTAGGGAAATATATTGTTATATTATTATTCGTTTGTTCTATTCCGGTTTAATATAGGGTTTCAATAGCACATCTCCATTTCACTCTGTTGTCTTCAGTCTTTCTCAACTGGCCCCACGATTGCCCATAAACTTTCTTTTCCCCTTCACACAATCTCCTCCATGTCGTCTTCGTATGCCCAACTTGTTGCTTCTAATCCGGATTCCGGCATGACGTGTAATTTAAATTAATGGTCTCCTCAGAGTACGTTTAATCCATCTTCATTCCTTTCAGTATATTTATTGGGCAATAGGTTCTTGCTTGGTTCTCTGCACTAGCAGAGTTCCCTGTTACATATCCTTTCTAGTTGTCATCTGATCTTTAATATCAAGTGGAGGTAGCTGTTGATGAAAGTCTATATCCTACTGATATGCTTCTGGTGATGCACCATGTCTATGAACCATACAGAAGCAATGGTTGGATACTAGTAATAAAAATTCAGCTTCTTGCGAAGACAGTAACATGTATTCTCTTTGTGTATCGACAATTTTTTTAATAATTTAGCTACGTCAACAATGACTTAAGTGCAATCAGTTCACCCTACACACTCTGTTTTATCTTATTTTTCTGTGGATTATGTCTTTTTCAATTTCTCGTATAATTAACTAGATTAAACTTAGACTGTACAGTAACATTTAACGACGGTTAATCACTTTGCATGCGAATGACTTTCATATATAAGTGACTTCAATTGTGTTCAGATGATTTGGTTTACTCAGTGTTTAATTAAGAAATATAAGTGATGTTGTGATAATGTAACGGTAGAAGACAAGAGACTTGGTACAGGAATGATCATTTGAAATTTTATATCTCTATATAGCGAAATTATGTACACCTTATCTGCAAATCGTCATCCTCACAGATATTCCGTGTTGTGCTACTTCTGCCCTTCGTATTGTGTTTCTTCTTCCTCTTTTCACGTCTCTCATGTTTTGTCGCAACACTGGCTCATTTTCTCTGTTTGACGTCAAGTCTGTCACTCCGCTATTAGATGTTTTTATGCCGGTGAATGTCTCTTCATATACTACTGATAAATATTGTCAGTAGCACACTCTACAATAATACTTCAGGATTTTAATAATATACTCTGAAGTTTATTTTGTTTTGTTTTAACTAGTTTTATTCCTTCAAACTGTAAAATGTGTTTACAGATGTCTAAAAATATGAGGTATTTTAATGCATAACAGGATCTATTGTACGTGTATGTAGAATCTTGTTGGATTATTTAAGTGCGAATAGAATAATGGATGGTTAGGCTATGTGGTTTGATATTTCGTTTTAATAAATTATTCAACACGTCTTTCAATTTGTAAGGAAATATACGACAAAAAGATAATCATATACAGAAATATACGTAGTTCTGTACATTGATGCATCAGTTTAGTTCATGGCACTACATTATTATTATTATTATTATTTCCTTTAATTCCTAGAGGAACATAGGGCTTCAGCCGTGCGTCTCCATTGCGTTCGGTTCTCTGCTAGAGTCTTCACCTGGCTCCAAGTCTGCCCACACGTTTTCATCTCCTCTTCACATGACCTCCTCCAAGTCACCCTTGCATTGACGACCAACTCGCCGCTTCCCTTTCGGGTTCCACTCGAGCAATGGCTTGTCTAGTGATGTCACTTGATGGTTTCCTCAGAGTATGGCCAATCCATCTCCATTTCTTCCTGCCTATTTGTTTCACAATCGGTTCCTGCTGGGTTGGTTCGCTCCCAGAGATCTCTGTTGCTGATCTTTTCTGGCCATCTGATCTTGAGTATTGAACGAAGACAACTGTTAATGAAGGTCTGTAGTTTGTTTGAAGTGCTCTTTATGACGCGCCAAGTCTCTGATCCGTATAGTAGCACTGACTTCACATTGGAGTTGAAAATCCGGATCTTATTTTTGATGCTGAGTGCTGTTGACCTCCACACAGACTTGAGAGTAGTGAAAGCTTGTCTTGCTTTTCCGATTCTTGCTTTGATATCCTCGTCAGTTCTGTCCGCCTGTAGTTGAAACGATGCTTCCTAGTGGGTAGGTAAAAGAGGTTGTTTCTTTCAGGTTCCTCCCATTTATGCTGATTGTTGTCTGTTGTTGTTGTTGCTGTTGGTGGTGTTACCCAGGAATCTTCATCACCTCTGTTTTCTCTATGTTCACCTGAAGTCCTATCTTCTCCGGATGCTTCTTCTGCCAACTTGTTGCTTTTCGCTTGCATATCTTCCAGTTTGTGGGAAATCAGACATATATCATCGGTGAAGTCCAGATCCTCCAAGTTTTTCGTGAGGGTCCATTTTATGCCTGTTTCCATTGCACTACATAGTATTATGAAATGAAGAAAACTGCGATTGGCATTAGAATATTTTAAAGTGAATATTTTATATTGAATAATGTTGTGTATACGCGTGGCTAGCAGTAGAATCGAGTTTCCTTTTTTTGGAAATCATCTGTTGAAGTATTGTTAGGATATAAGGGTGTTTTAAATAAAACCCATCTAGGTAGAAATCACTTCCAACATGAAAGCGTTATTCACTATATTGACTACTTAGTCACGAGAGCGACCTCTTGTACAGTGAGTATCAATTATTATTTCCTAAAACTTATGATTGCCATGCGTTTACATCCAGCTGATTAGTCCCGGGCAGCATGAAATACGCCTCATAGGTCCTACTGTCGACCACTATCTACCAGGTAGCATAAAGCTGATACTAAAGCCATCATAAAGATATCGGTTCTTTCTAGCAGCCAATTTAGCAACATTGACAGGTCATTTTGATGCATTAAAACAGGCCAGCAGTCAGGGACTTTTTTAACTAAACCCTGAAACTTAAGCTCTACAGTTTTTCTCCCAATTTAACTATGCGGCTACTCAAATCTCCAAAGTGTTGAAGTAATTGGTAGGCTTCCTATCAGTTCTTGACATCTGCAATGATGGCTGGTTAAGTTCAGTCTCATTAGGAACGGCATCACCCCACTGTAATGCAGATCGTCATACTGACCATTTGAAACGGTAGAAGGCATTAATTATTAACACTTGGATTTTTACATATGTCCATTGTCTTATTTAGACCTTTCAGTAATCTTTCATTTTCTATTCTCACGTTATTTATAAATCTGGAATCCATCACAGAGATTATGGAGATGAAAAAATTAATCAAAATCTATACGATCAAGAAGACACTTTGAATGATCAGCATGCTATTTTAGACAGTTCAGCCACTAATACGTCTCTACGTACAATCACAGTGACCAATACTAATTCCACTGAGGAAATTAATTCACTTCAAACACAAAATGAAGCAACATGCAATACTGTACCAGGGAAAGATTTAAAATTGACTATTGAACATGCAATTGATGACATTGATCCTATTGATGAAGAAAAACAGAATACACGTCAAAATCGAGTAAAATTTGCCTCAGAAGCTGAATTTTTTTCACCGTCATATTATAGTGAACAAACTACTTCTGTAAGTAGTGTCACCGACATGACACATGCATCCAGCACAAGTGTCACTAATGCTAATACAACAAATACTGATGCTACAGCATCTGAACTTTTTAGTTCAGAGGAAGTAGTTATCGTTTCTCCGAGTAGATCACCTTTACAAATATCCGATTTAAACAAACAAGGAGACGTTAATAAAATGAAGTCGAATGAGTATAAAGATACCACAGAAAATTCAGATAACGGAGAAAGAAACGATAAAAAAGAGGCAGAAGAAGAACAAGAAGAAGAGACAATGTATAAAGAAGACTTTGTTTCAGACTGTGAAGATTAATTTGAAAAAGAAAGCAACTTGTTTTCAGAAATAACTAATCAATAAATCAATCCTATTCATCGATCATTTACCCATGCATACATATATAAAAATATATATATATATATCCACACTGAAAGATACATAAACATTCAAGAACATAAGCAGATTTTGTAGACATTCATATATACTCCTGCAATGTGTATGACATTATCAGTTAGGTTTCTCATTATTATTTCTTTCTTCAATGATTTAAGGCAAGTCTGAAAGAATAATTATTGATTTATTTTCCCTTTGGTTTTGATTTATCACTGCAGTATTGAACATTTTCTTGAATCTGTTTAAATTTCGCGTCATTATTATTACTGCTTGAATTTATGATTTCAACAAAATGTATCTGAATGAAAAAAGCGTTTTCAATAAAATACAGGGTAACGATTCCTTTGGTGTAGTTTCGTCCTGGTATACACTTTTATTTTTTGTCATTTTTCTTTCTCAGTGTTCATTTATTTTCATTATTCAAATTATTATTATTGTTCAGATAATTTTAGTAGAAAAAGAATGAGTTAAAAAATAGATTCATTGTGACTTTTTTTCAGAATTGATTTATTTGGTTTTTGTTTTGAGTATATACATCGATAATAAACAGGCAGCCAGATTTTAAAAAAAAACCAAACTCGTTAATTTAACACTTAAACATCCCATTTCTCAGAGGAATGATTGTCAGACCTACAAGGTTTAACATTAGTGTGAATATATTTTCACTGACCAACGCTTTCTTTTTGATTACTCTGAAATTTGAGATTCTAATGTAAACATAGATTTAAAAAAAATTGACTTCGTTAAATACAAAGGACAGATGCTTTGATCATTCTTCGGTTGCCAGTCAATGATTGGAATCATATTCTAAAGTCAGACAGTTGTTATTCGGAGATCTGAGATATATTTTACTTGATTGCATGGAGGATTTCATCATGAGCTGACATCAGTTAGAGAACCACTGGAAAACCTGGGAGTAATGGACAGCTGTTTCGTCCTAGTTTGGGACTCTTCATCAGTACGCACCCACTGGGATTCGAACCCAGGACCTTCTGGTTACAAGGCGACCTCGTAAACCATGAGCCACTGGGACCCGATCCAATGGCCAGCCCATGAATTCTAACTTCTGCCAATTCACGACATAGTGCGACCATTTCGCTATGTCTTCTTCGATGAGTTACTGCCTCATCTTCAACCTGTTGTACCCTACTGGTCATGGCTTCCCACTAGAACCCCAGGTCACTGCCTGAATAGGGCCAGTCACTAGTGAGCATCAGATTAATTTTCAAGTATTGGTTTTGTAGGAATTTTGTCTGAAAATTTCTCAATTTCAATTAACGAAGCAGACAAGCACTAAAATGACGGAAGTGTTTTTTTTCTTCCTTGTGTTCTGATACATAAGAACAGACTATGATATGCTCACGAGCAAAAATTTGTGCTCAAAACGTTATCAGTAAACAATACTGTATCACTGTATGTTTCTGTCAAATAAAATTATTATGCGATGCAGCTTCAGGCTTTGAAGTTTCAGTAGCACTGGTGTTGATTTCTCCAGGCTTACTACCGGTTGGGTATCTGTTGATGAATGCCCACAGTAGCCTGCTGGGATTGCTTTTTGTGACTCTCCAAGTCTCTGAACTGTATAGAAGCATTGAGTCAATTGATATTAGTGTCCAGAATCCGAATCTTGTTCCTAATGCTGAACATAGTAGAGTTTTACGCACTAATTTCGTAGTAATGAAGGCCTGTCTTTCTTTTTCGATCTTGCCTTTGACATCCTCATCTGTGTGCCGTCTGTGGTTGGAACGCCGCTGTCTAGTTCAGGTGAGTGAAAGAGGTGATTTTCTTTTGACTTCTCCTTTTGATGGTGATTGTGCTTGTTGCTTTGGTTGGATATCCTTATCGTCTTTATTTTCTCTATATTCATTTGAAGTCCAGTTCTGACTGCCTCCTCTTCTGCTAAGCAGAATCATTTAAGGAACCGATTTGTCAATGGGATTGGTTTACGTGGGATGCTTTATGGGAATTCCACCGATAAGTTATGAATAATGAAACTAATCAGGTTAAGCAATAGCAGAAATGTTCGTATGTGATATTAGGTTAGGATCATAGTGTATTCGAAATTGATACTGAAAAACTGCGATTGTTGCTGTTACGACCAGAATAGACTCGTTGTCGTCTGGAAGCAGGAAACCAATCTCTGCGTCTTCCTGTATAGCTGATAAGACTTTCTTGAGACATGCACAGTCACAAAACTCTTCAAAGACAGCAAAAAGACGATTATTCGTTGTTTGAGTCTATGTGTGATTCTCAACAGTGTCGTTAGGCATCTATGCAGTCATGAAAACGTTCTACGTACAAAACAAGTACTTAGAGTCAAGTAGAATATTCCCAGCAAGGTGAGATCAAAGCCTTTGTCCACAAGAATCACACACCAACGCTTCCAGTAATTCGTCCAATGTCAGAATCGCCTTCATTCACCCTAACAAAATCACATCACAAAACAACACACTGTCAATATATCACCTTACTACAAAGAGAAGCCATAAAAGTAGAGATTAAACAGTGACTAAAACAAATAACAAGGATCAAGTCAACATTTAACATGCAAATGTCAGAATAATTACATACAGTCCAGGAGAAAAACCGACAATAATTGCAACGTTGCCTGAAACATCCAAATAAGTACAAATATTGTGATTAAATCATACAGGAGGGATTTTCCAAAGAATTTTCGCTGTTGCAGCTCGATTAAAATCAGTAGTTAAATGATAACCTGCTGGATGCCTTATCTAGCGTACAATCATGCGATGATAACATGAGTTAGGAGTAGGGTTCGTGGTGGTGTAGGAATTCGCGAACCAATTTCGAAAAATTGTGTGAAATTCCTCTGTTACCACTGGATGACTAGAATCAGATAAACATAATTGAAAATAATGTCGAAGAGGTTTGGTCATCCAGCACTACGAGCGTGATAAATTAGATCCAGAACGAAGCTGATATATTGGCATAGTTCTGTTCTATGAGTTGAACGGTTTAGTTGTGAAGCATTCTTTGTTTTCAGTTTGAAGTATGAGTTGAGGATGTTGTCTAGAAAGACAATGAAGGCGTCATAACTAAACCATCCAGCTCATAGAACACTACTGGATCGATGTCATCCACCTGAGGTGCAAATCTTCTCTACCATATCTGAGGCTGATACAATGTAGCTGCTGTGGCACAGGAGAGCTCTGTTTTTATACACCTGATTATTTGATGTAAAAATCTGGATCACAGTAGAAATAAATTATTTCAGTTGGTGGATAGCTGGAACGATAATCCAGCAACCATTATTGTAAGTTCGAGTACAACTCGGACATCTTCTCGAACTCCCATCACCACCTTATCAAAGCGTGATTATCACTATGCTAAGCTATGTGAAAATGAAGATTAAAATAAGATTTTTATATTATGAAAGAAAATACTAGTTTCATATTAACTGTGATCAAGAATAGACCGAATAGTTATGAAATAACTCAATACCGAGGCAGAAGTTTACAGTGTACTTCAATATGAATACCTTTGTTATGCTTAGATCTGAAAATGTGTACTGAAAATTCCTTATGTTGGATATAAAATCTGATAAACCAGTGTATGCAACATCAACGTACTCTACTCGACTATTATCTTGAAAACATCTTCCATTAATAAACTTGAACAAAGCAAAAAATTGTACCAGGATAATATGAATCTTTTTCAAAATATGAATACATTACATTAAGATTTGAACATAATTTTCCACGATCACAAGAGTATGGTGAAGTAAGACATATTAATTATTATCTTGAAACTAGATTTATGCACATCATATGGTATGCTCAGCAGAAATTAACAGTTAATTTATAATAGCTTGTAAACATGTTTGTATTTCATTTTCTGAGGAAGTAAATTAAAGTACTATAGCACTATACTCCAGAGAGTGAGTCAGAAATTTGTCAAATTGCGCGTTAGTTATTATTATTATTCCCTTGGGTTCCGAGTGAAACATAGGGCTTCAACAACACATCTCCACTTTCTTCTATTTTCTGCTATCCTCTTCAGCTGGGTCCACGATTGCCCATAATCTCTCATCTCCTCCTCCAACTCACATGATCTCATCCATGTCACCCTCGCACTGACGACTCACTCGTCGTTCCGCATTCGGGTTACACTTTAGTCTGCATTGTGCGCGATGTCATTCGACGGCCTCCTCAGCGTATGCCCGATCCATCTCCATTTTCTCCTAGATATTTGTTGAGCGATCGGCTCTTGGTTGGTTTGTTCCCATAGTTTCCTGTTGCTTATTCTTTCTGGCCACTTGATCTTCAATATAGAGCTAGAGAAGTGGGCAGCTGTTGATAAACGTCTGTAACTTGCTGGAAATCCTTTTCGTGATACGCAGTGCAAGTTTCTGACCCGTATAGAAGAAATGAATGACTTAATATTGGTGTTGAAAATCCGAATATTGTTGTTTGTACTGAGTTAGTGCAGAAGACTTCCAAACTGGTATCAGGTTGATGAAGGCGTATCTAGCCTTTCCGATTCTGGCTAGCTTTGACATCTTCATCCGTTCTGACTGCCTGTGGTTGAAACGATACTTCCTATATAGATGAAGGAAGTAACCTTTGTCAAATCTCCTCCGTTGATAGTGATTGGTGTTTGTTGTTGTTCTTTGGTTACCTTCATCACCTCCGTCTTCTTTATGTTCACCTCTACAATTTACTAGCTCACTATTTTTATAGCCGGTCTCAAGTCCAGGTAAAGAGGGAGGGTTGGGCTTGGGGCTAGCTACCCTACTCCACAAAACCAATCAAACTGCTACAGAAACTTCAAATTGCGCGTCCTGTATTAAAATCAAAGCATAACCAAAGACGACATCTAGTAATTCCACTTAAGACCAACAAAACCTACCAACTTTTGTTTCAGTATAATAAAGCATAAAAACAGAAAATTACACCTATCAACAACGGATATGAAGCTAAATCAAGTAAAAATATTTTTGGAAGACACAATCAAATTGAACTGCAAAAATGTCGAAGACTGAAACTTTGGTGTATGTTTAATCAAGGATTTATGAATGAATGTCACTTATGCCACTAAGATAACATAATCACTCTAGACCCTTAAACTGATACCTTTTAGAGGAGATAAATATTGGTTGATTGATAATATTTTCTTTTGTAAAGGATAAAGACTGATTGTTTT